GGGTGTCAGGAGGGAGCCCCGGGGTTTTGGGGGCCCCTGGGGGCGGCGCCTCCTCCCCTGGGGTTTTGGGGAGGGGGTGACGCCCTCGCCCCCTCCCCTCCCCCCAGGTACACCATCTTCAAGGACCACGTCACGCTCGGGGACTGTATCCACCCAAAAAACTGACCCCAACACCCCAAAAACCTGACCCAAACACCCTGGAACCCCAAAAACCCCCAGAGACCCTCCCCGGAACCCCAAAAACCCAACCCAAACACCCCAAAAACCCAACCCAAACACCCCAAAAATCTGACCCCCAACACCCCAGAACCCCAAAAATCCGACCCCAACACCCCAGAACCCTAAAAACCCCCAAAAACCCGACCCAAACACCCTGGAACCCCAAAAACCCCCAGAGACCCTCCCCGGAACCCCAAAAACCTGACCCCAGCACCCCAGAACCCCAAAAAACCCCAAAAACCCGACCCCAACACCCCAAAAACCCCCAGAGACCCTCCCCAAACACCCCAACCCCCAAACCCCAGATTTGTTTTCCTTGACTCCGGCTCAGATGAGATCCACGACGGGATGAACCTGGAGCTGTACTACCAATAGAGCCCAGTACGGACCAGTACGGACCAGTACTGACCAGTATGGACCGGTACTGACCAGTACGGACCAGTACGGACCAGTACTGACCAGTATGGACCGGTACTGACCAGTACGGACCAGTATGGACCAGTACTGACCAGTACAGCCACCCCAGTTCAGCCAGCCCAGTTCATCCCAGTGCTCCCAGTTCAGCCCAGTTCAGCCATCCCAGTGCTCCCAGTTCAGCCATCCCAGTGTTCCCAGTTCAGCCATCCCAGTACATCCCAGTTCAGCCATCCCAGTTCAGCCCAGTTCAGCCATCCCAGTGCTCCCAGTTCAGCCATTCCAGTGCTCCCAGTCCAGCCCAGTTCAACCATCCCAGTGCTCCCAGTACATCCCAGTTGAACCATCCCAGTGCTCCCAGTTTCAGCCAGCCCAGTTCATCCCAGCGCTCCCAGTCCATCCCAGTGCTCCCAGTCCATCCCAGTGCTCCCAGTTCAGCCATCCCAGTGCTCCCAGTTCAGCCATCCCAGCGCTCCCAGTCCATCCCAGCGCCCCTGCCCCGTTTTCCCCCATTTCCGCCCCGTTTGTTGATGAATAAACGCGACTTTGAGGCCTCCGGGCGATCTTTGTGGTTTCACGGCGGCGCCCCGGGGCTCGTGTCGCCATGTCGCGATATTCCATGTCCCGACCGGGAGAAACCCGCGACGGGGGCCGGGGTCAGGCGCGGCGCGGGGCAGCCCCGTCGCCACGGTAACGGGGGGGCCTTCCCGGGGCCGGCGCGCCGCGCTCAGCGCGGGTTCCAATCAGGCGCGGCGAGGGCAGCCCCGTCGCCATGGCAGCGGGGGCCTGGCGGGGGCACGGCGCGCGAAATGGCGGCGCCCAGGGAGAGCGCGGGAGCGGGTGAGGGAACGGGAACGGGAAACGGGAAACGGGAAACGGGAAACGGGAAACGGGAATGGGAAATGGGAATGGGAATGGGAATAGGGATGGGGATGGGAATGGGGATGGGAATGGAGATGGGGATGGAGATGGGGATGGAATGGGAATGGGGAATGGGAAATGGGGATGGGAATGGGGATGGGAATGGGGATGGGAATGGAATGGGGATGGGAATGGAATGGGGATGGGAATGGAATGGGGATGGGAACCGGGAAAGGGAACCTGGAGTGTTAACGGGAACGGGACTGGGAATGAGGAATGGGAATGGAATGGGGATGGAATGGGGACGGGGAGCAGGAGCGGGAACCGGAACAGGAACCGGGAAGGGGAACCAGGAAAGCGAACGGGAACTGGACCGGGAATGGGGAACAGGAATAGGAACTGGAGCGGGAATGGGGAACGGGAAAACGGGAATAGGAACGGGAATGGGGAACGGGAACAGGAAAAGGGGAATGGGGAATGGGAAAATGGGAATAGGAGCGGGAATAGGAACGGGAAAACGGGAATAGGAACGGGAGCGGGAATGGGGAACAGGAATGGGGAACGGGAAAACGGGAATAGGAACGGGAATGGGGAACGGGAAAGGAACGGGAAAATGGGAATGGGAAATGGGAGTGGGAATAGGGAACGGGAAAGGAACGGGAAAATGGGAATGGGAACGGGAAAACGGGAATGGGGAATGGGAGCGGGAATAGGGAACGGGAAAGGAACGGGAAAACAGGAATGGAAACGGGAACGGGAAAACGGGAACGGGAAAACAGGAACGGCCCCGAGCCGCCTCCCGTCCCCTCAGGGCCGCCGGGGCCGGGCGGGTGGAGCCGGGATCGGCCGGGAATGGCGGAGAGACCGGAACGGGCCCGGGTGAGTGACGGGAGACGGGGCCGGGATCCGGGGGGATCCAGGTGAGGGATCCAGGTGGGATCCAGGTGTGGGATCCAGGTGTGGGATCCAGGTGAGGGACCCGGGGGGGATCCAGCTGGGGGATCCAGCTGTGCAGTCCAGCTGTGGAATCCAGCTGTGGGATCCAGGTGTGCAGTCCAGCTGTGGAATCCAGCTGTGGGATCCAGGTGTGCAGTCCAGCTGTGGGATCCAGCTGTGATCCAGCTGTGGGATCCAGCTGGGATCCAGCTGTGGGATCCAGCTGTAGGATCCAGCTGGGATCCAGGTGGGGGATCCAGGTGTAATCCAGGTGGGGGATCCAGGTGAGGGATCCAGCTGTGATCCAGGTGTGGGATCCAGCTGTGGGATCCAGCTGGGATCCAGGTGTGGGATCCAGGTGTGATCCAGATGTGATCCAGGTGGGGGATCCAGCTGGGATCCAGCTGTGGGATCCAGGTGTGATCCAGCTGAGATCCAGGTGGGGGATCCAGGTGTGATCCAGCTGGGATCCAGCTGTGGGATCCAGCTGTGGGATCCAGGTGTGATCCAGCTGTGGGATCCAGCTGTGGGATCCAGCTGTGGGATCCAGCTGTGGGATCCAGCTGGAATCCAGCTGTGATCCCCTCCTGCCTCACCTTTGGGGCCGTTCCGGCTCTTCCGTCTCTCCCAAGGGGATTTTGTCTCTCCTCAGGCTGCCGGGGCCCGGAGCAGGTCACCAGGTGAGCGCTCACCTGTCCCACCTGTCCCACCTGTCCTTGTTCTCCTCACCTGTCCCACCTGTCCTCACCTGTCCCACCTGTCCTCACCTGTCCTTGTTCTCCTCACCTGTCCCACCTGTCCTCACCTGTCCTCACCTGTCCCACCTGTCCTCACCTGTCCCACCTGTCCTTGTTCTCCTCACCTGTCCCACCTGTCCTCACCTGTCCCACCTGTCCTCACCTGTCCCACCTGTCCTCACCTGTCCTTGTTCTCCTCACCTGTCCTCACCTGTCCTCACCTGTC